ACCCCCCCTCTCTGTCCAGGGTGGACCCCCCCTCTCTGTCCAGGGTGGACCCCCCCCTCTCTCTGTGTCCTCTCTAAAGGGTGTGAAAACTTGCAGGGTGCTGGGATGTTGCTGACATCTTTGCCACTTGCTTCCTCTGCTGTTTTTAGACACTGAATAAAACATGTTTAGTTTAGTTAATGTTTTATTAAGCAGCTTCCAGATCAAATTTCAGTGACATACAAGCTTTTGGCAGCGTGGCCTGTAGCTCCGCCCCCGGTGATCGGGGGGGTATGATTACAGGAAGTGTGTGTATGAATTCATTGTGTGTGTGTAATTCCAGCCCTGATAACCAAACAGATTAATTCCCTGAAATGCGCCTCAGATTACCCAGCAGGCCATTTGGATGATGATGACCCATAGATATTGATGTTGCTATGACAACGGTTAACAGACAGTGAAGCTCTTGACTGAATAACAGGCAGATAAACCGGTCCAGACATGTGCTACCTGCTTTTATGACAGCCTCTTCTTCTGGATTTTAATATCAGATTTCATTCATTTTTATGTTGTTTCAGTTTTTATCATTTTAGTTTATTTCTGAATTTTCTAAAAACATTTGGGAAAAATTCTAAGATATTGAAAAGGATGGAAGATTTGTTCTTTTCTGTGCATTTCTGCCCATCTGCAAAATGTCTTTATTTTACCCAAAGTAGGAATGAAATATTGAATAAAAATTGAACGGTTTTGGTTGTTTAGTTGTCATCAGAGCTTTCAGAGGAAGCAGCTGTTTCCAGGTAAAGCTTGTCTTACCGGGTTCTGACTCCTCCCACTGATCTGCCTTTTGCCAGCTGGTGTAAAGTGTCCTTCAGAAGGAACATCCAGGCTGTAATTGAGAAGCTAATGACTTCCTAAAGGCCCAAACAAACAAGCTGATTAGTGCAGCTCAAAGAGTCCAATCACTGCAGCAGATCTGTGGTGTTTTAAAAATGTTGTCTCTGCGGACCAGACGGGGTCTCTGCGGACCAGACAGGGTCTCTGCGGACCAGACAAGGTCTCTGCGGACCAGATGGGGTCTCTGCGGACCAGACAGGGTCTCTGCGGACCAGATGGGGTCTCTGCGGACCAGACGGGGTCTCTGCGGACCAGACGGGGTCTCTGCGGACCAGACGGGGTCTCTGCAGACCAGACGGGGTCTCTGCGGACCAGACAAGGTCTCTGCGGACCAGATGGGGTCTCTGCGGACCAGACAAGGTCTCTGCGGACCAGACAAGGTCTCTACGGACCAGACAAGGTCTCTGCAGACCAGACAAGGTCTCTGCGGACCAGATGGGGTCTCTGCAGACCAGACAGGGTCTCTGCGGACCAGACAAGGTCTCTGCGGACCAGATGGGGTCTCTGCGGACCAGACGGGGTCTCTGCGGACCAGACGGGGTCTCTGCGGACCAGACGGGGTCTCTGCAACCCAGACAGGGTCTCTGCGGACCAGA